ATTATGTAAGCAAATGGTATGTCACAATTAATTGCTAAATGAGCATTTTTAATCAATTTTATTAAAAATAAATAATAAGTTAGTTTTGTATAATATAATTTTTTTCCAGATACGTGTTTAAATAATTTAATTAACACAGAGTGGAATGAAAAACTATAAAATTAAAATTAAAAAAATTTAAATGTTTTTATCAAATAGTATTATTTTCTTTTTGAATGTTTTTTTCAGTGAATTTTTTTAAAAATTAAAATGCATTCAATACATTTCTGATATTCATTTAAAATATTTATCAGTATCGAAATTTTTGTTCTCTTTCATAAAACTTATAGTTTACTTTAAAATAATGCGTAATTGCATGAAACTTTTTCCCCCGTGTCGAATATTTCAAAAAATTCTCACAATTTTACTTCAAGAATTAAAATAGTAGTGAAATTTTTTAATTTGAAAAATTTATACTTTCTGTTCTTTTTTCAGCATACAACTATTTTTAAAAATGCTACAGTTTCGTTTCCTAGAAAAAACTATCTTTCTTTAAAGAATTTTATAGAAAAAAAAACAACTTTTTTTTTATTTACAAAACAATGCTGTTTTGCATATTTTATGATTTTTTCTCATATGAATCAATATCGTTGCGTTTATATAAAAATGATTTTTAAAACTTTCAGAATCAGCGATTTAAAAAATAAAAAGCCGAAAAACTTTTTTGAACGAAATGTAATAAAACACTCAAAATACTTAAATCAATCATTTAATAATTTCTTCTTTTATAAAGGTAATTGCATGAAACTTTTTTCCCCCGAGTCGAATATTTCAAAAAATCCTCACAATTTTACTCCAAGAATTAAAATAGTAGTAAAATTTTGTAATTTTAAAAATTTATAATTTCTGTCTTTTTTTCAGCATACAACTATTTTTGAAAAGACTACATTTTCGTTTCCGGGAAATAAAAAATTGCAACGAAAGAATTGGAAAGTGAGTGGGTGATTTTAAAATTCACCCTGTGTGCCTATTCGAAAATTTTTGGTGACGGACTTCGAAATTTTCAACCATTCTCAAGTGACGAGGACGACACCTGAGCTTTCACCCATCTTTAATAATTACCACACCACACCAACGCAAGAACAAATTTCGAAAAAGGGAGTTTTTATGACATAGTTAAAGAAATCACTCACATCGCGCATACACACACACAAGTGCTATCGGCCTGAGGGAAACACGAAATTTCCATGAGGGTGAAGTTATTCACTCGTTAAAAGCCCGTGCAATGCCGGGCTAAGCGGAGAGGAAAGAAACAAAGAAATCAAAGTAATTTCGGAAAATAATATTGGAAGTGCTGAATTTGTGAAGTTGAGTGAATATTAACGTCCCACTGTTCAGCTACACGAGGCCTTTCGGGGACGGTCCACGTAATTTTGAACCATGGTCAAGTGACGTGGATGACACCTGAGCTGGCACCCCCTCTCCTAACTACCACACCACACCAACGGGAGGACGTTTGAGCTCTCGGCATATTTTACGTGCATCCCGCCCCTACACTGCGGGTCTTCAGTGGTACTAGGATCGAGAATTAGTGGTACTAGGTACTAGGATCGAGAATAAGCGCAACAAAGCCATGACACGCACTCACGGGACATGCACTCACATCGTACGCGTCAACCCCCACAAAAGTGTTGCCGTTAGAATAAAAGGAGGAAATTAACATGGGGATTAAGTTATACCCTCGGTATAAGCCTGTGCAACGCCGGGCCATGAAAGCTAGTATATATATATATAAAGTGATTTGTTACTTTGAAATATATTGTGTATCTAATGTTTTCTTGAAAACAGGTGTGATCAAATTTGTGGTGATGGGACATGGGGTTATTACTGTTCCGAAGAATGTTCTTGCCAAAATGGGGCTACTTGTCTTCCAATATCAGGAGAATGTTTATGTGCAGATGGTAAGTAAAGTTTCCAGAGTATTTTTGTTTCCTAAGAGACACTAATTTCAAAATATTATTACGCTATTAAACGAGTTTCATATGCAAGAATAGTCCAAACAAATAACAAGCTGGTTCTTTTAAAGAAAATTGTAATTCTTTCTGGAACTATTCTGTTATTTCAATAGATTTTTTTTCTAACATGAAACAATTAATACACGTAGAATCCACAATAGTATCACTGCAATATAAATCCGAAGACACTATATCGCTCAAAGGTCAATAAAATGCACAGTCTCTGCCAAGCTTTGACTGCAATATGTATTCCCTGTATTGGCCCTACATAGGCTGTAAAGAATTCTCTAAAAGTCTTAAGTTATTTCAAGAATAATTAAATTATTACAATTTCAAGGATTTATTATAACGCATCAATGGCTGTTAGTTGATAGGTAATTGCTACAATGTTTGTGAGTTTGATTTTAATTTATGCTTGATTAGAGATTCATGCAACAAAACTCGACTTGACAAGAGTAGTTCATTTGAAAGGAAGTTTCCTTTTACATCATTATAAAGGGAAAAAAGCAACATTTTAAGTCTCTTTGCTGATTTCTTTGATAAGCGTTATTTCAGGAAATGATCCAAAATCTTTACTTTTACGTTTTATCAATCATAATATATTTTTCACAACTATTATTTATTTTTACCTTTTAACAAATCACGAATTTTTTACAAACGGCTAATTTCTCTCTTTGAATTAAGTTTGAACTTCTCCATTTCTTAAAAAAAACCATCAGCTATACTTTTTACTTTCATTTTTAGTTCCTATGATTATATACTACATATAATTTTTAATGTTGTAATTGAGTGCTTTTTCAATTTCTACCATATTTAGTTCACACTCTCTCTCTATATATATATATTTATATGTATACACAACCTGTGGCCAGAAAGTTTGGTGAACGAGCCCGTAGAGGTCGCTCCTCTACTGTCGGCGTATACTAAATTAAATGCCCATAAAACGCCAACGAGTTATTAAAACTCATTAGTAGGTAAAAGCATTTAGCAGAGTATTTATGGCAGGGCAGTGTTTGCTGAAGTAAGAGATGGCTAAAAAGAAAAACACATATTATTCACAGTGCACAATAAGTGGTCAAAACAAGGAACAAACGTCATTAAGAAATAAACTCTTATTATTTCAGCTAAACAATAAAAATAATTAAATCAAATAGTAATTTTAAAAAAAGAAAAAGTTACTTACCAAAAAAGAAATTATGTGGTAGCTCTTTAATTGTTAAAAAAAAGACAAAATAAAATAATTATTTACCCATTCCCTTTCTGATACAATTCAAGTTTTACGAAGCAGCTCTGATGCTATTCCCGTCACAAAAAAAAAGTGTTATTCGAATTTTTCTAAACACCTGTTCAGCTAACGTAAGACTGACATCATCAATGTATGACGTCATTCCTCCCAATATTTGAATAAAAATACTTTGCATAACTGAAAACGTTTTTTTTTTTAAACTCTGCTTATCGGCGGCAAAATGAAATATACTTTTAATGTTAAAATTAATTAAAAAATGCTAAAGTAAATGAAGATAAATATGTATATTGGAGAAAGAAAATATATTATGGCCGAAGATAAGAATATTTAGGGTAAGGTAGTGCTAACATCTACTAGTAGAATATCAACGCACGGTGAAGGTCAATATCTGTTTGAACATGTTTGTAATATTGTCAAAGTTCCAAGTGCGTTTATTCCCTGTTATTTTAACAGCGTGTGTGAAAGGATAAGAGAATAAACATGTTGTTTTGTTTAAAACTTGGAAAATTAGCAAAAGAAACTCAAGAAATGCTCAAAGAAGTTTATAAAGATGAAGTCACACATCAAAGAGTGCTTATGAATGGTTTAAGCGTTTCCGGGAAGGGCGGACCAGCCTGGAAGACGCCCCTCAAACCGGCAGGCCCAAAACTACATGCACCCCAGAAAACATCGAGAGTCAAGCAGCTTGTGGAAAACGATCGTCTTCTGACAAAGCGAAGGATTGCAGAGGAACTGGGAATCGGCACAGAAAATGTTCGCCTCTTACTCACTGAGGATTTGGGAAAACGAAAGCTCTGCTGCAGACTCGTTCCCCATCGTTTAACGCCTGAACAAATGGAAATGCGGTTTGGCGCTTGCGAAGGTCTCATTGACATGGCAGAGGGAGACATCGTCACAGGCGATGAGAGTTTGTGTCTGAAGTGCGATCCCGAAAGCAAACGACAAAGTTTGGAGGGGCGGAGTCCATCGTCGCCTAAAAAATCCCTGAGGTACGGTCGGAAAAATCGCACATAAAGACAATACTCATCGCATTCTTCGACTCTAAGGGTCTCCATTCACAAAGAATTCCTCCCTGAGAGTATCACATTAAATGTTGTTGCCTTCGCCGAAGTTCTGAAGCGTTTACTGCAACGGATCCGTAGCGTTCGCCCTGAGTACACCAAACAAAGCTCCTGGACTCCACGATAATGCTCGGCCACACACCGCCTTGATTGTACTGCAGTTCCTGTTGTGACTCTTGATCACCCCCTTATTCACCTGATTTGGCACTTGAAGTCTTCTTCCTCTTTCCCAGATGGAAGTCAGCCCTGCAGGGAAAGAGATTTACGGACATCACCGACATTTAAAGCAACGTGACGGCCGAGCTGAAAGCCATACCAAAAGAACTGTTTTACAGGAGTTTCCAGGACTTCTTACTCGTTCCCAACAGTGCATTACCCTCCATGGAGATTATTTTGAAGGACAGTAAATTGTATTTGATACTGTACAATACTGTATTTGAAATAAAAATTCATCACCGAACTTTCTGGCCACAAGTTGGATATACATATCTTGTTCAAAAATTTTCGATCGCTAATAAAATACTTTTTATCCATCCACTCAAATTCAAATAAAAATTTATAAAAATATAGTGAATTAACACTTATGTTAATACAGTTTTTTCAAATATTTATTCATTAACTAAATTAAATTAATGAATTAATAGCAATCAAAAAAATAATAGCCCAACAGCATATATAGAAAAGAAAATTGTTTTTTGTGTCCCTGTGCAATGAATAGCGCATTGGACTTCTAATCCAAAAACTGTGGGTTCGAATCCCACCTGGGATGACCTAATTGCTGAGAATGTGACTTTATGTTATGCGATTTTATTAGAATAATTCAATTTAATTAATGAATAAATAGTAAAAAAAAATAGTCCAACACTCTATATAGAAAGGGAAATCGCTTTCTATTTAGACACTTAATATTGTGATTCTGTATTCATATACAAATTTATATTAATTGTAATTATTTAATAAAAAGTAGCTAAAATAAAATTTATCTTTGTCGACCTAAGTAGGAATTGACTTAAGTTTTTTTTATATACATTGTTTTCTTTTAAAAAATAATTTCACTGGCTCCTATTTCATGGAATAAAAACACATTTTTAAAGATAAATTTTATTTAAATATCAATTTCTAGTACTATTTTCAAACACAGCATTTTTCCCAGATGCAGTACAGGGCTACATATATTTTCGAGATTTTGCATTAAGTTCCTTAAAGGTCTACTGGGGCCACAATAGCCCAGTGGCTATAGTTACGAACTTGTGGTCATCCTATCACGAGATCGAGCCCCAGTGCCACTGAAGACACGCAAGTAGAGGGGCCAATGAATGTTAAATCTGTAGGAGTTGAATGTCCTCCCGTTGGTGTGGCCGCGGTAGTCAAGGTATCGGATCATGGCAGGCATGTCGTGAGTTCGAGCCCAGTACCGCTTCAGACCCACCATGTAGGTGCGCAATGCATGTTCAATCTGTTGAGAGCTCAAACGTCCTCTCATTTGTGTGGTGTGGTAGTTAGGAGAGGGGGTGCCAGCTCAGGTCTCGTCCTCTTCACTTGACCATGGTTCAAAATGACGAGGTCCGTTGCCAAAAGCCCTCGTGTTGCTTAACAGTGTGATGTTAATATTCACTCACTCACTCAGGGTCCTGCCGTTGGTGTGCTGTGTTAGTTTGGAGAATGGGGTGCCGACTCAGGTATCATCCTCGTCACTTGAATTTGGTTCAAAATAGCAAGGTTTATCGCCCATAGCCCTTGTGTTGATTTACAATACGGCGTCAATAAACACTCAATTTGAGTGAGTGAATATTAACATTGCACTGTTCAGCTTCTCGAGGGCTTTTGGTGATGAACCTCGTCATTTTGAACCCTGCTCAAGCACGACACCTGATCTGTCGCCTCATCTCCTAACTACCATACCACACCAATGGGAGGGCGTTAAAGCTCTTGACAGATTTAATGTGCATCGCTCCCTACACGGCGGGTCTTCAGCGACACTAGGCTCGAACTCATGACACGCCAGCCATGAGTCCGTTTCCTTGACCACTAGGCGACCCTGGCCCCCTACTCAATTTGAGAACCTTGCACGTGTTAGTTTCCTACTTATTTTCTTTTGATATTTAATGATTATTTGTGCCTTCTGAACAGGGTATACCAGCAAAAATTGCGATATGGTTTGCGATGTGGGAACGTACGGAAAAAACTGCGCTCAGATGTGCGACTGCTATCACGGAGCTCTGTGTGATCCAGTGAACGGTTCTTGTGGTTGTCTATCAGGATACAAAGGAGAAAAGTAAGTTTGTTCAATTCATTTTCTGAAACTTCTGAATATAATGAAAACAAAATATGCTCTTTTGCAATTACGTGCTTAAAAATAGCAAGTAATATAAAAAAAAATTAAGTCAATTTCTACTTAGGCCTACAAAGAAAATGTTTATTCTAGCATATTTTTTTTAATTAATCCAATTATTTTTAACTCTATAAATATACTACAATTCTTCAAGGTATTTACGAGTGAAAAAAGTATTTGAAATTTAATTCTTTTAGAACTATGATTTCTGGACGAAAATCAACTGAGTTTTGAAACCGATTATAAAGGTAAGTAAAACTATCACCGAAAAAGTAGTTAAAATGCTGATTTTCTTCAATTTAAATAAAATGTCACAATATTGTTTTTGAAATTTCTAGGTTTGAATTGTTGGCTCATTTGATGAAGTATATAGCATCTGATCGACACCAGGAGGCTATCAGTACTATTCAAAAGATGGTCAAATGAGTAGAGAAGGAATGGCATTCTAAAAAAGTAGTTTTGAATCCAAAAATTGTCAAGCTCAAAGGTATCGATTAAAATATCTGCTTGTATAAAAATCCACCATAATGTTAAGTTATCTTTTAACTGTATTATTATTGCCAGGCTAGATTTTAATTTTACAATCATATAAAAACAAACAACTTAAAAAAATTCAAAAAAACTAGTTAATAATTAATTGTTATGTTCACTAAAGTTACTTAATTTTGAACTATGTGTGCCTCGTTTTAAATACAAATTAAACATTTGTAATTCTCAACTTTCCAGAAGTAATTAGTCACAGAAATATTTTTTTTAAGAACACTCATTTAATTATATTTATCATAAAATATACGTTTCTGTATCTCAAAACCATTTGAAATTAAAAATTTCCTCTTTTAAAATATTCACTGAAATTAAAAAATCTCCAAATAAAAACAATATTTTTGATTATTTTCTTTATGTATATATAAATGGATGTTTGTATATGACCTCGCTTCACTCTAACACCGTTCAACTAATCACTATGAAAATTAGTTTGTATATGTTTTTTTTGGAGAAGGATTTTGTGCTATCCTCTTTGTTGCAGAATTCCGCCAGGTGGCGCTACAGCTTATCAACCAATTCACCCGTGCAAAGAATGAGCATTCCAGCTAGTTTTACTATAAAATAACATTCAAAATTTTAAGCATTTAATATATTCTAAATAATGTTATCCCTTTTAATAATCAAAAATACGAGGTCATCGTCATTTTTTACTCACAGTGCGAAAAAAATGTATCATGACATCCTGAAGTCTGAATTTCGCTCTTTATTTCGGCATAGTCACCGCCGACATTGAGTTATTGTTTGTTGCATGCAATCCATTTGAAGAAAGCACTGTGGTAAAACTGGGTGCCCTGCGAAGTATGGTACAACTTTTTTTCATCTCGTTATGCAAAGATATTTTCTTCACTGGTGATCTTGGATGCTTCCACATTATTGAGGTACACTATGGCCAGTACTCTAGCAAAGTTTTCATTTCTGAATCCGGAGGGACGCCTATTTCGACCTTCCTCCTAAACAATCTGTTTTCCTTCTTTGAACATGCAACCATTTGACGAGACACCATACACAGCTCCAGAAAGACGGACACTCTTGTCCCATTCTGTCCACCCTTTCACGCTGTCAGCACACGTCTCTCTGCCGTCCTGATTAGTACTCAAATGACCTTGAGAACGCCGGTCTGCTGCTACTACCTTTTCGAAACTCTCTGTATGCGTTGTTCTTCCTACGCTTCCGTCATTTAACCAGCAACTAATTGTATTTCTTGAATATGATTGATTGTTTCACCTGGCGTCTTACCTTTAAAAAAAAGAACGAAACTTATTTTCGAGAGGTCCCTTGTTATATCATTTTTAAGGTACTTATGAATTATATCGTCGTCCAACTTCACCAAATTGAAAAACTTATCTAAATGCTGTCAGCTATGCTGCGAATAAGATTATTGGATGTGTTCAAGGGTGTGGGGAACAGTTTTACTGTAGATCGTGGCATTGGGGAGGTTTTTATTTAACCAATGGGTCTACGGTATAATATGCAAGTACCAATTTTCATTGTAAAAGTTTTTTTTTTTCCATTCCTTTTTTTATTGTTTATCTTTATACATTCCTTTTCTTACTTACTTTTTAGCAATTCCAAGTTCTAACTACCAATAAATCGCCCAGGTTTTCTTCGAATCACTTTTCAATTTAATTCGCGTTATAATTCATGCATGCTTGACAACCGCGTCATTTGATTGTGGTTTGAACAATGTTTTAACTGCTGAATGGTACATACTTTCCCATAAAAAAAGATTAGTAGAATTAGAAGTTCCAACTTAACAATGGAAGCATTAGAGTCCTTTTTTTTTTGTTGCTCTTATTGGTTTACTTCAGTATTCTAACATATTATTATTCTAGTAAATTATTTTAGTAAGCCTCATGTTTGTATGTGGTGCAAGAGAAAAAGCTACTTTTTCCAAAATAAGAAATGATAAGTTAATGTTTGTTTTTTATTTATTTCATGTGTCCGAGATTGTGAAAGGTACAAGAAAACTCGAGAAAAAAAGTATGGAATTTTAGTTGTTCCGAGTTTTAGAACTCAAAAGGTTGTGTTACAAGATTTTTGTTGTCAGATGTAATGTAGTAAAATTTATTTTTTGATTATTTTATTTATTCATTTTTATGTAATCTTTTTGAATTAAAAATTTGATTTATATTTTGTGTTGTTTCCTTATTTGGTGTGATTTATTCTGACAATGAATGGTTTATAAAATGGTAATTCCTTAATCTGTTGAAAATTTTGATCTTTTTTTTAAACTGAGTATGTTTAATTTTTATTTCACTCTGTAAGTTCCGCAATTTGCTTTTGATATTACACTTTTCAAATTTTTTTTTACATTTCAAAGTTAAGTACATGTACTAAGTATGGCTATTACTGTGATTTAGTGTTGAGTTTTTACAATTCTTAATTTTAAAATCTGATTATGAATTCAGAGTTTTCAAAAAAAATTGTTATGCAAAAATAGATCCAACCACTTATTATTATGTATTGGAATAATATCCATAACTGAAATGAAAAAAATAAATAGAAATCCGAGATATATTAATGGAAATTGACATAACTATCAACTTTTCGATATTTTTGAAATAAAAGGCAAGAAATTAAAATGGATACTGCTTGTTAATAGATTAGTATAGGAAACTGAAATGTTAATTTGAGATTAAGATAGTTTTAACACATTTCAAACGCACAAACACTTTTCGGTACAAATTTGATATCGATGCCCCACTCACTTTTGACGTTATTTCGGAAAAAAAAAAAAAAAATTGCGCCAAATAGATCTTTGGTAGCCAACGTTATCATATTGTAAAATATATCTCCAACTTGGAAAAACTTTACAATTATTTGGTGGAAAAATCTATGAGACGTACCAACAAAAAATTAGCTCTCAATTTTCTGTTTTGGTGAATGAAGCA